TGATTCTGTCTGCCAACATGTGTCTGTGTGCCCATTCAAGAGCAAAAATGACACAGGGAGCATCTCTTACCAAAAGACATAAAAGCTCATGGTGACATCCTTCCTAAAACATCTCTCAGAACAATTCTCTTCACCATCATATGCGCATGAAATTGAATAGCTCCAGCACTGGACAGGAGTGAGAATATGATACTTCCTTTGTGTGGTCTGTCTGGGTAACAGCAGGAGATCAACACAGTTTCCACTGACAAATCTCCATCCACATATGAAGAGCTGGGGACACAGTCGGCTAACAAAAGTTCATAACAATAGACTTTCAGAGCAACTGTGAATTGAAACATATTCTCTCTCTACATTGTTGTGGCCCTCACTGGGAATACTTGCTGGTAAATGTCAGCTTTTTCTGCATAATTCTTGGTGGGTTTTTTTTTATCTCAAGTGTCTTCCTGATGGTTTCCTTACTCCATAACTAGAGAGACACATGAATTAGATTATGGATGGACCACTTGCAAGGTGGTTGATATTTTCCTCTTTGTGATTCTACAGCTAGAAGTACATGTCTTGTTCTGAGGAGGCCTTGACTGTAGAGTGGAGAATGTCGGGCTTTCTGGTTGAGTATGGCTTCCTTCAACCTCCTCAGTTCTTGTAAAGGATGCTGTCAGAGAAGAAAAGGCAATCAGATCTAAAACAGCTTTGCTGGGTCACTGGTTAGATAAATTCAGGGCCTATTCACACATAGGAAACTAGAATCAAGGAAGAACTCCACCCCACAAATGCCATGTTGCTGGAGAAGGGATGTCATGGTGGCTCACTTGCTGATGACACTTAATGCTCCTGCTGTAGCAGCAGCTCTGTGGGCAGGAGGCTCTCATCCTGAGCTGTGGACTGTTCCAGCTCACGTAGGAGTTTTTCTGACCTGGATGAGGAAGGCAGTTAGGGCAGAGTCCTGGTGGGGTCTGCCGTGTGACCTGCCAATCTGACATCACAGAAACTCAGTTGTGCTGAACAGTCAACACTGAACTTTGGCAGCAGTCATTGTTTGTGTTCCTAAGAGATAAGTGTCACAGAATAGCTGGACCTTGAATTCTTTTCTGCCCATAAGTATCAGATGTTTAAATGAGTAATGTATATTCTGTACTCTATGAGAACAGGCCCTTTTCCTACAGTCTAGGGACATCATTTAACAAAAGGAATAGCATATTAAAGTCATACATAACAACATAGTGGAGATACACAGAATGTTCATGATGAGTTTTTCATTGACCACCTCATTTTTATATAGAGACTTAATACAACTTTGCAAACTAGACAGCTGAATAAGGTCATGTGGAAAAATCAGCTCTCCTGCAAAATAGTGCCTGTCATGCTAGAGCAGCATTTCTTGATTCATGTGTCTGAGAATATTGCAACTTTATGAACTCTGGTAATAAAGAAAACCAGCTGTGTTATCCTTAGGTCTACAGCTGGGAAATTATATCCTGGTACTCCCTGAGAAGTCTGTTCCACAACATTCTGCGACGTTTCTGAATAATTCTCAGCAGAGACATCTGCCAGAGTTCATCCTGCCAATGACTAAACTTGTTATATCCCCAGTACACTTTACATGGGTAATGCTCAGACAATGAAGGGAGCCAGTGTGACATCAAATAGTGACAATGATGTGAATCTCATCCCTACAGGTGTTATTCCTGAATAAATATGTAATTTCAGATATGGTGAGACATAACTTTAAATCCCATCACTTTGAAGGCATAAGCAGGCAGAGCTCTTTGAGTTCAAGGAAAGCCTGCTGAGAACATACCAGAGAGATCAGAAGGGAGAGTTGGGACACAAGTATAGACCCAGGGATTATCAACCATATTGTTTGCTGGAAAGAAGTTCTTGTTGATAGGACCTGTAGCTAGTGTTTTCCTGCCTTGCCCACAGTCAGGACAAATCTTTGTCACCTGCCAGTCCCACAGCCGCTCAGACCTGACCAAGTAAACACAGAGACTTATATTGCATACAAACTGGATGGCTGTGGCAGGCTTCTTGCTAACTGTTCTTATAGCTTAAATTAATCCATTTCCATAAATCTATACCTTGCCACGTGGCTGGTGGCTTACTGGCGTCTTCACATGCTGCTGGTCATGGTGGTGGCTGGCAGTGTCTTTTTGCCTCAGCCTTCTGCTTCCTAGATTTCTCCTCTCTCCTTGTCCCACCTACTTCCTGCCTGGCCAATGGCCAATCAGTGTTTTATTTATTGACCAATCAGAGCAATTTGACATACACACCATCCCACAGCAGAGATCCCTGAATATCAATGCAGCACAGAAAAACCTGAGCTAATATAAAAAATGGTGCTCTTTAGAATACTACTGTACCTAAAAAGATTTCTGGCTTGAGAATAAAAGTTCAGAGAAGCTTGTTTGAACAAAATTTATTAACTGCAAAAAGTTTTGGTTGAAAAACATCTCTTCATATTTGGAAGTGAAAGCCTGATACCAGAATTTTTCTTGTTTAAACTTTTTGAACTTAAAATGAGATAAAATTACAAAAAGATTTTTGTTATGGATTTCTCATATTTGGAAGGCTAGTACCAGAATTTATCATTTGAATTTTAAGACTTAAGAAATGGAATAAACAATAGAGATTTCATTGCAATGGGACAGTTTTGAGTAATGACCTAGGAACGGTTTTCTGGAATTGGGTTAAATGAAGAAATTTATTTCTACCTAGAATCAAGATGCAGTTTTGTGTATGCATATATGCTTTATTTACTTGTGATTCATGAATTGTTTTGTGGAAACTGGTTTTGTGTTACAAGTGGAACTGTTTAAATGGTAAAGATTGGGTTTTCTAACTAGGCTTGAGACTTTGCTTAAATTATAAAGAAAAGGGAGAGTTAATATTCCTTAGTCTATGTCATTTAAAAACACTTTCTTATTTTAGTGGATTAATGTTATGTTAGTAAGAAATGCAAATGGGTATACTAAATTTAAAGTACAAAACTCTTTTGGATGTTTTGCTAAAAGTTTTCAAAGTGATAATGGTTAGATTGAAAATATTGCTTTTCAGTATTGGTTTGTAGGAATTGTATAAGTTGGGGTTCTTCTAACTAGGTTTGAGATTTTGTTTAAAAAATTATAAAGAAAAGGAAGAGTTATGAGATTGAATTATGTTCCCAGAAACCTATTGATATTAATGCAGCCTGGTTTTGTGGAGTTAAGGAAATATTTAAATTCAATGTGAATACATCAAAGTTTTTCCTATGTTCTGTTAACAAGAAAATTCAAATGATGGAGTTAAAGCTCTAAGATGGAGAAAATTGTTAACTATATATGGTACCATATATGCTAATTCAAATGGTTCTGTTAAGAGTTTGCTTTGAGTTGTAAGATGGAGAGAATTGTGACTATGTATAGTGATATTTATGTTAATCTGTTAATGGTAATGATGAAGCTAAGGGATTCTTTAAGTTTGTAGTCGCCTTAAGAGTTTTTGGTTTAGAAAGGGCTTGAGGCAGCTAAGACTGCTGTAGTCCCGTTGGAGCTAATTCAAAAGAGAAATGCCATCTATATCATCCTCTACTCCCATACTGGGAGGTGTAACAGCTATGGAGATTGCTGTAAGTCATTAATAGTTATTTTTTATATATTAAGAAGGGGGAACTGTGGGAGCCCATTCTGGGGTTCCTCGTGGCTTTACTCAGCAGGTCTGAATAGAAATGATCAGGACTACGGGCCTGAGTGCAGGTATCTGAGATGGTCTGCATTTGGCTGTGCTGGGGTAGGAGGTCTTTTGCTTCACCCCTTGGCATCTCTATAAAAACCCTGGGGCAGAAACAGTCAGGGCCATTTGGAATAGGTTCCAGGACCTCTTGGGGCTATTCTTTATTTTCTGTCTGTTTATCCCTGCAAGATTCTCCGCTATAAATCCTTCTATCTAATATTTCCTGCTATTTGCACTCAAGAAAACTCTGCGGAGCTGTGGGGTTGGTGGGTAAACGCCCCACATGTGTCTGTGTCTGTGTGTCTATTTCTGTGTATATGTATATATTTATTTGTGTGTGTGTGTGTGTGTGTGTGTGTGTGTGTGTGTGTGTGTGAGTCTGTGGGTCTATGTGCTCCTGAGTGTCCAGGCTCTGTGGCATGGTCTGAGGATTTCACACAGTTTCCAGCAGATGGCACTGCTGAGGCCAGGGAAGCCCACATTGAGCTGCATGCCTCTTGGGCACTGTGCTCATCTTGGTGGAACACTGGAATTCCCTGTGGAATTGATAAAGCCATCCTGAAATTGGGAATCCTCCCTGCAAATTCTCATTATGTGCTCTGTTCCTCTGTGCAGCAATAGACACCAAGATATATGAATCCATGTTGTAAAGACAGGAGAAATGTCATCATAGGTTTCTGGTGGGCCCGGATATGAGGCACAGAAACTGGCAAGTGCATAGAGAGCTAATCTATAGCTCTAGGCCACTGAGAGAGCTCATGTATAACTGGCACACTTCTTTGGACCAGCTGCATCTTCTGGCTTGGGGACAGGATGGGAAATTTAATAAGTACCAGGAGGTCCCAATGAGTAAGTGCCAGGCTATGGCATCCATTGGGCTGGGGTAGTCTATTACCTAGCCTCACTCATGTAATCCTTGTGGCCTGTGTTCATGAGGTTCTTTTCTCCTTGGGCCATGTCCAATTACAGACTGAATTTTGAGCTTGATCTGCTCAAAATGGAGCATAAGCAGGTGATGTCTGACCTGCAGAAATTGCCCATAGAGATCAGTGATGCCTTGGACAAGTGCACGGGTCTGATTGAAGAGACTGAATCCTTCAGGTAAGTGTGTGCTTTATCATGAGAGGAACTGTCTCTGCCGTTCTTTTTCCTTGACTCAAAGTGAGGGCTCTGGTTCCAGCCTGTCTGCCTCTTAGCAAGCAGCCTGCCTTGTGGCCCTTGGACTTGTGCCTCTTGGACTCAGTGTGGGAAAGCACTGAGGCCCTCCCATCATTGTCCTGCCAGCCTTGGGAGTGCTGAGACAGAAAACTGGTTTGTAGCAAGAAGGGGATGTCTGGCAGCCCAGGTCCTCTGGGCACTGGCAGGGGCATCACAGACCTGGTTTCCATGGAACCAGTAGACCGAATTTATTCCTTTTGGAACTTCTGCCCTCCTTCCAAGAGTGTTTGCTCTCTACCTGCTGATGATTTCCCAATACAATGAATAGTTAAGAACCGGTGTGGACTGTACTCTGTTCTCAGATGTACAGGTTCCCTTTTGGCATCAGGGTTTTCAGAAGTAGTTTGATTCTCTTTGGAATTTGGTTATTCTCTGGATTTGGCCTGCCTCTTAGTGATGCTGACTTGGCTACTGAGAGCCCCATTCCTGGGCTGTCTTTGAGTCTGGGACTTTTCAAGGCTGGTGGTACTTGGAGTTAGGGATGGCAAGTGAAGGCTCTTTGGGGCTCACCATATTTTGGTGGTTGTTCAGTTATATCAATGTCCAGGTTCTATGAGAGTGTACTCAGCTACAGAAGAATGTACATGTGTTGAGACTGAAGAACAGACTGCCTTGGAAGGAGCAGACTGAACTGCAAGAGTCCTGTGAGGAGCTGAAGAGGCTCTTGAGGGAGGCTCATGAGATGATCTGTGACCCTTCTGCTAAGCAGCAGCAGGTAGGCTGAGACAGTGGGGGCAGGTGCCCACCTGTCCAACCATAAACATAAAGACACTCATATACCATCCACCCATCTACCCAGACTCCCACCTACATACCATCCAAGTGTTGATTTCTGTGATCATTCCCAAGTCTTTCTGGAGAGTTAGCCTCTTTCAAGAATCTGGATAATTGTCAAGCAAACCCTCCTGCTCTGCCAGAAGCTGCAGTACATAGAGAACTGGGTCAGTCACATATCACACACCTATATGTCATTATGATCAGAGGGCTGCTATGCAGGGTGCTACTTAGGGAACAGCACATAGGTTTCATTGATGATGTCAGTGGCCTGTGGCTCATTTGCTTTGCAGGGGTCATGTGAGATCACAGGTAGGAAGCAGCCTGCAAGGACTAGAGTCCAGCCCCAGTTCCAAGTGAGTGGTTTTCATTGTCAACGTTTTGGGTGACATGCGGTCTTCTTCTTTCTTCCTGCATCCCAATGAGTTCTCTTCCTTTTGCCAAGCTCTTGGTTCATAGTGACAGATGCCTGAGTACCACCTTCTCAGTCCTTTTTCTCGGCATGGGGCTGGACAGTCCTCTAGGAGCATCATGGACTTTCCAGTCTGGAACTGCCTGGATGACCATACATGTGGGAGGACTTTGACAGGGTGAAGGTTGGGGTGACAGATTTGAAGCTGCAAGAAAACATTTACTCCAATCCCCTCAACATAGTCTGACTCAGCTTTATGCTGCCCTAGGATGTTTTAGGCCCCAAGAGATGGATTGCCATATTGTGGGTCCCAGTTGAAACACCTGATGTGCATAGTCTAAATTCAACTGTTCATTCAGCATGATGTCCTCTTCATTGTTTCCTGCTCACTTCTGATTTCTGTGGTCTATGTGTTGTCTATGCATGCATGGGTAAATGTGTTCATTGGTGGGTGTGTTCAGAGGCTACATAATGAAATCCCGTGTTGTCATCCGTTGCCCACTCTCTTATTCCCTGGAGCTCAGGCCTTTCCCTGAACCTGAAATTTTCTCTTTTGGCTCATCTGGCTGGCCAGCACTCTTTGGATCTCCTGTCCTCCAAGGTAGGCCTTGTGTCTTGTTTATTCTCATCCAATTTCTACAAGTTTCAATTGTTCAGAAAGAGGAAGGCTGTAGTAGCTTTCTATTTCTTCATTTACATTTATTGTTTTGGTGTTAATGTATTTTCTAAAAAATAACAAAAATCAAACAATACAGGTGTTTTTAAAAATAGTAGGCACAAAGCTAGTACCACAGGAAATGTCCGGTTTGTCTCATTGGCTTCACAACACAGAATCACACAGTGCATCTTCTTGCTGACATTGTGTTGCTCTGACTACATCACGTGCATGGCTGTATCTTAGAACATTTCCCTCTCATACCTGTGTAGAGTGCTGCAATCTTGAAAAGCATTATAGGTCACTTCATTGGCCTCCTTCTGACTGACATTGGGGCTATTTTCATATCACATGCACTACAACCTGTTATAAACTTCCTGGGTTTTGACCATGGGTCGCTTTCTTTCTCTTGAGCTAGGCAGGGTCTTCTGTGGAGGAGCCAGGGTAGGTCTAGTAAAGAGACTGTGATGGATCAACTTGGAACCCATGGGATCAGTGAGTCTTGGGATAGACAAAGCTCATGAAAGTAAAAGTAAGTGCAAACCAGAGTAGTAGAGCCTGGCTGAGACTAAGTGCCTTGTAGACAGCAGGGACAACCCACTCCCTCCCCCTGCAGCAGAAGACTTTCTGAAAGGTATTCTTCTATCCCTGGCCATTCTGGAATCAGTGTGTTTGTGTGTGTGTGTGTGTGTGTGTGTGTGTGTGTGTGTGTGTGTGTGTGTGCATGTGTGTATGTGCGTGCACGCAGGCAAGTGTGTGTGCGCATGCATGCTGTGCGATGCATTTCTGTACATCTGTGTATGTGGACCTATATGTGTTTTTGTGTGTCTTTGTGTCTACTGCATGTTGTGTGCATGATAATGTGTGTGTATGTGCTCATATGTGGTTGTGTGTGTCTATGGTTCCTGTATGTATTGATTTATGTGCTTGTGTGTGTATGTCTGTGAGTATGGATGCTTATATGTGCAAGTATGTGTTTGGATGCATCAATATGTCCACTTTTTTGTGAGTGAAACATCTTTGATGATGATGGAGTCCGACTTTGATGAAAAAGTACTGTGCACACTCACTTTGCATCCATCTAATATTGTATGCTGCTGCCCATCTTTCTACATGTCCACCTTGCTCTCTGGGACAAAAGGACACAAAACTACTCTAAGTCAATGGTTTTCAGGTAACTGTAGAGGGAATAATATTTATCTACAAGAAAAGTCTTTGGAGCATACCAAAGAAATATGGTACAGGAAGATGAGGCAGAGGCCTCTGTGGCAAGTCAAGGTGTCTGAGAGGCAAGATAGGCTGACTGAAGATTTGTGTCCTTTCTCTGCTCTGGGTGAGTGGTGACTGCATACTCAATGGTCATATGCTCACTGTGTCTTCTGATGCCCTGTCTTGTCCTCATCCGCATTGCCTGCTACCACTTTCTTTCCACCTTTGCCTAACTTTTCTCAGTTATCATTTTCCTTGAAAGTAGGACTGGATTTTATTTGTTGAGGGATTCTGACTTACAGTGTGGTTCTAGCTGCGTCTAAGTTCATCAGAACTTCCCTAGTCATGCTGTGGTGTGAGAATGGGGCTGTCTCAGTGCACACCCTAGGCTCCTGAGGGTCTAAAGCACTCACCACATGCTGTGTCTGTAGCACTCAGTAACTGCCTTTCTTCAAAGTTCTTCATTCTTAGTTAAAATCAGCATCATGAAGGGTTGGGGACAGTGAGGATTCTCAGACATTGCTGGTGGTATACCATGATATAGCACAGTGAGAAGCCACAGACTCTTCTTCAGAAAGTTAAACTGCAGTTCTCAGGTGAACCAGTGATTCTAGAACATGAAGTGGGTGTCCAAGGAGAAGCTAGGGGACATTAGTGTTGTAGCAGCATTCCTCAGAGTAGTTTCAAAGTAGAAACTATCTAGATGTCTATCATTCACTGAGTGAAAAAGTATAAATTGATTGAGCCCCTCCATGAATTATTGTTCAGCATGAAATAATACAGGCAATAATTTGGCCCTGATATAGTCAGCTTTTGGTTGCTCAAAGAAATCATTGACACGATCACATAATAGTGAGGAATTGTTGATTTTGACTTCTCATTGTTGAGATTCTCCAGGTTCATGGGCTTGTCAGGTTTCTAGTTTCCTGAGCTCATTTGCTCTGACGTGAGGCAGCCTGTGGTAAAGGGAGCTCCTTTTGGAGGAAGTTTATCACCTGGGGGTCAACTGGGAATTAGTGAATAAGACCAGTGAGCTGGTCCAGTTGTCCTTTGCTGGGGAACATTCCTATACTGCACAGCCTGGGGAACTTCCTAAGCAGGGTTGGCTAACCAACCAGTACCCCAGAGGTCCACATGTCTGTGCATTAGTTTTACAGGAGAGGCACTTCAATGATTGAGCTGTCTGTTTCTCATGGCCACTATATTCTTCTATCATCCTAAAAAGTTAATATTCTACTAGTAGTATTCCTGTTAATGGCTCCTATATTAACATTAGCTGGGAAATTAAACATGTTACTGCATTAGAGTGTGCTTTTATGTGTGCAGACATGTACTTGTGTGTGTTCATGAATTTATGTGTGTGCATGTGAGTGAGCAAGCCTCCAGTGAGAACATAATCTTCTAAAGAACAGGATCAAGAGAGTCTGGATGAAAGACTGAAGGACCTGCTGAAGGAGAAGGAGCTGGTCACCTAGCAAGAGGACTTGGCAGAAAAGCTGCAATGTCTGTGAGATGAGGTGGGAGCCCAAGCTTGGAGGAACAGTGAGAACCCTGTAGGTCACATGTCCCTGGATCTCTGTCCTTTTGGGGGATTCTTCCCATCTGGATGGCTCCCAGCCAGAACCAGGGAAAGAACACCTCAGGGTATTGTGCTGGCTCAGTCAATAAGAACTTCTCCAGGAAACACTATGTTGGATCCTCAGTGTTTCTGGGGAGTGTGTACCCCTTATTCCCTTCTGAGCTCTCTGGAATCTTCTCAGTACCTTGTCCCCTGTTTCTCCCCATAAATCTCCCTATGGCAGTCCTCAACCTAGCAGGAGGAGGGTTAGTTGTGTAGGACAGTGTGTGCTCCTGCCACTTTATTTTCCTTCCAGAACATCACCTTTAGGGAAAAGATCCTACTTTTGGGCAGATCTGCATGCAGCACAGTCCTGCAGATTATAGGCTCTCTGCAGTGTGCATCTGTTTCCCATGAAAAGACTTTTCTTTCTATTATAAGAAGATTTAGGAGTTGAGGAGTTGAACTGAGGCTGGTTTCTGTGCTGTAGGAATAATCAGATCCTTCACTGCTTTTACTTTGCAGGCTCTGCTATAGGGTCTACATTCAGTTTCCCATGTGCTCACCTTTACCTGGTACCTCTTCAAGGCCATTCCTATCTGCCCTGAACTGTAACTCAGACCTTGCTACACTGTTATTTTTTCCAAATAATGTATTTAAACAACCAGGGAATGACCTCAGCTGAAAGGTCATGCTGGGTTGTCCAGCTGACTAGAG